GGGAGGTGCCAGCCTGGGGCTGGCCCCACGCCCCCGGGGGTCCCGATCTTGTTTTCTCAGCTTGCTCTCGTCATTTCTCCGTTTTGTTTACACAGGCTCCTTGGGACTCCCGCCCCAGACAGCCCAGGATGGCCGTGCCCCGGGTGCTGCCGCTGGCCGTGTGGCTCCTGTTGAGCCTTCTCCCGACAGGCCTGGCCCAGGAGACCCCTCCGCCTGGGTGTGGCAAGGACCTGCCTTCGCTGTACTACAACCTCTGCGACCTGTCGGCGCCCTGGGGCATCGTGCTGGAGGCCCTGGCCAGCCTGGGGATAGCCAGCAGCTTCGTGCTCTGCATCGTCCTGGTGGCCAGCCTGCCCTTCATGCAGGACCCCCGGAAGAAGAGCCTGGTGGGGACGCAGGCGCTCTTCCTCCTGGGCACCTTCATCGTCAAGCCGTCCTTCTCCACCTGCGCCTCGCGGCGCTTCCTCTTCGGGGTCCTCTTCGGGATCTGCTTCTCCTGCCTGGCGGCCCACGCCGGCGCCCTCAACGTCCTGGCCCGGGGCAGCCAGGGGCTGCCGGGCTGGCTGACCTTCGGCGCCGCCCTGCTGCTGGCCCTGGTGGAGCGCCGAGTGGCTGCTCATCACGGTGGTGAGGAGCGGCCCCCCCTCCCAGAGCCCCTGCGCCGTGGCCAACAAGGACTTCGTCATGGCGCTCATCTTCGTCATGTTCCTCCTGCTGGCCGCCTTCGCCGCCGCCTGGCCCGCCCTGTGCGGCCGCTACCGGCACTGGAGGAAACACGCCGTCTTCATCCTCCTCACCACCTCCCTCTCCATGGCCGTCTGGGTGGTCTGGATCGTCATGTACCTCTATGGGAACCAGCAGAGGGGCAGCCCCTCCTGGGACGACCCCACGCTGGCCATCGCCCTGGTCACCAACGCCTCCGTCTTCATCTTCTTCTACGTCGTCCCTGAGCTGTGCCACGTGACGCGCCCGGGCCCGGAGCAGGCCTACGAGAACGACGCCTACCCCACCCGGGGCGTGGGCTAAGAGACCATGCTGAAGGAGCAGAAAGCCCAGAGCATGTTTGTGGAGAACAAGGCCTTCTCCATGGACGAGCCGGCCTCAGGTAGGCGGGGGGCCGAGGGGCAGCTGTGGCCTGTCTCTCTGGGGCGTGGGGGGTGGCACGATGCAGGTGTTGGGGGTCCACCCGAGCGGACCGGAGCCCTTCCCAGGGCAAGGGGAGCCCCACTGGGAGCTGTTCCTGTAGCCCAACCCTGCCTGGCCCTGAGCAGCCTCTGCCCCCTTGACTTCAGCGGGCACTGGCGGCGCCCCACCTCGCGAGGGAGCTCCATGCCATGCAGGATTGGGCCCTTTGGGAGAGACTGCGGGGCCCCTCCCCCCATTTCCATTCGGCCAAATATCGGGGCAAGGAGCCGGGCTGTGAGGGCTGCTGAGGCCCATAACGAGGCCGGAGCGGCCGTGCGCCAGCCCGGGGGACAGCGGG